CTTTCCCTAATAATGATCTCTCGTAAGTGATCCCTTCAGGAGAAATCTCTGCTGGAACATAACAGTCTTCTGGAGGCGAAGTTGTGCTCTTTCCAACTTGATCCGCAGATCACCGAGACTGCTACCCAGAATCCAAACAGGAAACAACAAAAACAAGACCAAGTAAACTCCTCGCCGTCTCCCTTCCTACCACCAAACCACCTTCCAACCCTGAATTTGGGGTAACACACTTCTCACTCGAATATTCATGATCTCAACACAACAAAGAAATATAAAAACTATTACAGAAAAATAAATAAACAAACAAAACAAAAGATCTAAAAAATTGAAACATAATTTTGGCTATAGCATCTGAAGAGAAACACTTGTTCCTGCTATACCCGGCGAGTGATGGCGAGGAGGCTGAAGATCCTACGCTTCTTCAGATGAATAGCATCAGCCTGCCGCCATGGATGCTTCGCTCCTCAACCTAATCCTGAACAGAAACACTGGTTGCTGTAGATCTCCCGCATGCGACCTTCTAATCAAATCCGGCTTAAATCCGGCTCTGCTAAAATATCACAAGTCCCTATGTATACAGTGTTCTCTTGTAATGCATAACTGTGGTGTGTGCGCTCGCTGGAATATCGTACCAAAATGTTTCTGGCAACAACGCTAAAATACTTGATGTAAAAGATATAATATCGTTGGGCGTTTATAAGATAAACATTTCCGGATTGCATCTTCTTCTGCATAGGACTGTCACATCAATATATTATAAATAAGCATCTTCGATTATATATATATATATATAATATATATATATATATATATTATTATTATTATTATCCTTTGAGAAAAGCTGCCATGTGCTCGCAGTTAACTTTATTTTATTTAGGTGAACAACTGATAGTGGTAAGCAGGGCTTTTAAAACTGTTCTTTCTTTGCGAATAATTCATGTAATATTTATTAACAAATTTGTGTCTGATTTATTCACTAAGTAAATGGTTGAGCATGAATAAGTTGAACATAAATAAAAATTTGTTTCTTCGTCGCCGGTTCGTTTTAGCTCGAAATAATTATATTACATATATATTGCATTTAATGTATAAATGAGTTGAACACCAAAATTTGTTTGTTCGTGCTCAGCTCATTTTTGCTCGAAACAAAGATTTATAATGTTTTAATATAAATAATATGATTTAAATCTCGCTTCCACTCTTAATATTCTACGGCTGCTTGATATGATTGTTTTCACTCTTAATATTCTACGGCTGCTTGATATGATTGTCAAAATAATTCTTTGTTTGTGAACATTATTGGGCTATGGGGACTAAGCACCTGGCAGCTCACACATATGCGGGTTCTACTCGAACAGAAGAGCGCCTGTGCACATCAATTCCTTATTACCGATTAATCATTCATAATACATCTGATAATTAAACCGCCAGCCGGCTCAACATATGAACTAATTATATATATGAAAGATAGTTGGATCAAAGTCCGCATGACACATAGCACATAAACGTGATTTATGATTAACAGATATAATATACGAGTTCCATCACATGCATGACATCATAAACATTGATACCAAAATATAAATAGAAAGATTTTGATGGTTAATATGTAAATATCTATATATTCACGTGTCATGCATGCAAACTATCTAGTCAATTACTTCTTGCGAAGTTCGCTGAAATAGTCTCTGGGATTCTTTTCGAATTCATCCCTGTCAATATACTGATCTGGACGCCCTGGAGCTCTCATCATCTTATGACTAACAGCTTCGTCTTCTGAGCTGTGGCTTTCGTCGTTGATATTTGAGTCATTTGAAGAAAAGAAATTGCGAGAAACTCCCACCGCTAAAGCTCCGGTTGCCACTGCAGCGGCTGCCACTGCAGCGATTTCAGCTATCCTCTTCAGCGTCCGATTATCTTCATTTGCTTTCTTCGGCGCCATCTTCTTCTTCTTCTTCTTCCTCCTCCTTTCTTCTGTTCTTCGGAGTGAATTCGTTCTAAAGGCCTGAGAGTATAAATAGAGGGAAAAAAAAACAATTTAATTTCATACATTTTAAAAAAGAAGGCGTATTTACATACATACCATGCAATTATTATGAATTTACAAATCTAGCGCTTGAACTTTTATCTTTATATTTATAGCACTCAATTTGTGCATGTTACATAATAGTATCAGTATCTATGTATGTGTGTATGTGTATGTGTGTGTGTATATTAAAGGGTGTTATTTTAGAATATTGCTTCACATACGTGCTATTCATCCTCATAGGGATTGAACCCGAGTCTGATATATTTTATGACTGGCAATGTAGCTGCCTAATAACCCGACGCTCAAGATGTGTGTATATATATAGACACACACACATATAGATACATACTGAGAATAAATAAATGACATCTCTTATAAAAAATAAAAAATAATAATAATAATGAGTTTTCTTATAATCTTCTATTTAATTAAGGTGATAATATATATAATAGTAAAAAAAATTAAATTATATTTTAATATAAAAAAATCATAATTAGCACATCACTGCAAACAAATCCTTTAATTTTATAGGGGAAAAATGAGAAAACTTCATGGATACTTAACATCCAAGTCATCCTATTTGTTTATTATGTTTGCTTCATCAATCACAAATACAAATCTTTGGTCCATAAATATATTGTTTATGATGATTTATTGACTAGAAGACTTGTAAAACCCTGTGCATGCCCCTCGAAGCTTTTAGCACGCAAAAAAGTGTTTTCGTAGTTGCAAATCCTTTTAATTTTGTAGGGCAAAAAAGGGAACGTCACGGATTCTCAGCATCAAAGTCTTCCTATTTATTTATTTATTTGATTTTAGCAATCTCAAATAAATCACATAAAAAGTATGGACACGAATCTCAAGGAAATTTAATAGCTCGGACAGGATAAAACCGAAATTAACTAAAACATTCAAGCGGCCTAAACTTGCAAAGTTCGACCAACTGCCAAGTATAGGGGAATGTTCATTCAAGTTTTTTCAATTTCCTCGGTGGTATTAAACAATCTTCTCGAGCATCCCCAAGAGTCAACAAGTCTAATCTCAGTGCATCTTCAACGTTATGAAAAACGACAACAATAAAGTGAAAAAACTAGATTGAAAAATTGCAAATCAGAAATAACACACAGATTTGCATTGTTCAGCTAATTTGTCTATGTTCACGGAGCTGCAAAGGATTTTAGTACTTTGAAAAATTACACCGTCGAGCGCCTCGACGTTTACAAGAAAACTTATTTTATCTTTCTCTTTTCATTTCTCTATCTTAGCTCTCAAGAGGACTTGGTTTAACACTTATGACATGTCAAAAGATGCTATTTAAAGAAATCAGGAGAGAGGTAGGTGGAGAGAGGTGGGTGGGAGAGGCGTAGGTGGGAGAGAGGTAAGTGAGACGCGGTATGTAAGTTACAGACTTCATATATTTAACAATTCTCCCACTTAGAGACTGAGACGTTGACTGCACCACCTACATGTTGCATCATTTGCTGGTGTACCAATATTTTTTTCAAACATGATATCCTTCACTTTCCTCCACTTATGCAACTCATTCCTCATGTCTTCTCATTGAAAGACCAACTGAAGTTGAACACAACTTCAATTTTTCAATAGTAGCACCCTTAGTCGATATATTAGCGTCAACATAGCATTGTACCTCAAAGTTCTTTTTTGGGTTACTCTTGCATCTGCTTACAATTCTCACTGCATGGGCAATATTCTACCTCAGCTGAAAACCCTTTAGCAAGTCCAGCCTTGTACCTCTTACTGTCATCAAGCACAGTCTTCACCCGGTACACACATTTGTTGTGCAATGTCTAGTCTGATTTCCTGACATAAAATTTGTCTCCTCCTTCATGGTCAGTTCATACTTTCTTGAATTATCATCTTGCAACATCTTGCACCTAACTAATCTTTTTATGTTTCTCTAAAATTTGTCTCCTCCTTCATGGTCAGCTCATACTTTCTTGAATTCTCATCTTGAAACATCTTGCACCTAACTAATCTTTTTATGTTTCTCCACAATGCACCTCTAAATCATGTGTTCACGTCTGAGTAAACATGTAGTCATATATAGTGTGTCAGTTTTCTTGCCCTAAGTCAGTATTAATGCTCCTTTGGCAACATTCCAGCTGTTATCTGAGAGCATTATTGAATGACTAGCCTCATTCAGCTACTCAACAGAAATGAGGTTTTTCTTCAACTCAAGGACGTTTCTAACATTTTGTAAAGTCTGTTTGTTCTTGTTAAGGAGTGCAATATCAACGTCTATCATCCCCACCACGTTCAGAGATTTTCCATCAGCCAGATGTACCTTCCCAAAGTCGCCTGTAATATAAGTTCGCACCAACTCTTAGTGGGAAGATGTATGGAAGGAAGCCCTTGAATCTAGTATTCAGTTATCAACAGAATTGTGAACTACCGACAATAGTGCATCATGTATTTCTTCAATTACCACATTTGTGCCATCATTCTTCTTCTTCTTAGGATTCCTGCAGTTACTTTTTATGTGGTCAGCCTTGCTACAATTCCAATTCACAATTCCAATAGGTTATCTGCTGACCAGACTTTAATTTTAATCTTCCTCTATTTGAGTTCTTGTCTTGTGATCTCTCTCTAGAATCAACATTCAGCACTGCACTGAACTCGAACGAGGTCTCACCAGAATCTTTCCTGCGCATCCTCTCAGCCAAAATCAAATCACGAATATCATCCTATTTCAATTTAGATTTACTTACAGAACTGTTAGCTATCATCCTCATGACTTCTCAGCTATTTGACAATGAAACCAACAATATCAGCGCACGTATCTTATCATTAAAATCAATTTCCAACTACAATTGATTTGTGGTGGCATTGAAATTATTCAGATGTAGAGCAACAAACACACATTCTGTCATATTCTGGTTGAATAACTTTTTCATCAGGTAAACATTGTTATTCGCCAGAAGCTTTGCATACATACCTGATAAAGTCGTCATGAAATCAGCTGTAGTCCTCTCCTTGATGACGTGGGCAACGGATCTCAACAGAGTCAATCGAATAACCCACAGAATCTGTCGATCCAACAGATTTTATTCCGCCTCGTCAATATTTTCCTGCTTCTTTCTCAGGGTGAAGTCTCTTCCCATAGAGGTAGTCCTTTATCTGCATCATCCAGTAAGCATAATCCGTGCTATTAAACTTCTTGAATGTCATTAAACTTCTCAATCTCTGATGTCATCACTTCATCTCCGCCCATTGTTCTTCCTTAGATTCAAAATCACGACTCTGATACCAATTGTTATAGAAAACAACGACAATAAAGTGAAAAAACCAGATCGAAACATTACAAACCAAAAAAATAACACACAAATTTACATGATTCAGCTAATTTGCCTACATTCACAGAGCTGCAGAGGATTTTAGTACTTCGAAAAATTACATCGTCGAACGTTTCGACGTTTACAAGAAAACTTCCTTTCTCTTTCTCTTATCATTTCTCTCTCTTAGCTCTCAAGAGGACTTGACTTAGCACTTATGACAGACCAAAAGAGATTGTTTCAATAAAATGGGAGAGAGGTAAGTGGGAGAGAAGTAGGTGAGACGTGGTAGTAAGGTAGGTAAGTCACAGACTTCATATATTTAACATTCAAGATCTCTTTGTTCAATGACAGCTACCTGTCGGATTACGGTGATCACCCTTTGCCA